GAGCAGACTGTATGTGTGAACCAAAGTGCGTGTGAAGCAGACAGCCTGGCATGTACTGGCAGGTGCATGCCAGGGTCTCTGAAGACTGGAGATCACAGCTTCATGCTCGTAGATGTTGTCACTACTCTCACAATCATTTTCATTTTAGGGATTTTTCTGTAAGACTGAGGAAGACTTTAACGATTGGTGTCAGCAAGTCAAAAAGGTCTGTAGCTGCCCCTCTCCAGAGCCAAGATGAAACTTCTGGGGACCCAGGCAATGAGGTGGCTGGGGTAAAGGGAGCCTCTTTGCATGGCCTAGCTAGGAACCCCGTTTACTGGTTGCATGGGGAGTTTTGTTCCTGCCTCACACATGTGGGCAGACTGAACGGGGCAGGGTGCCTCATACTGCTGTTTCTCTTGGCTATGTCTAGGCCATAATTGGCCGTCTTTTACCTACCTAAGTTCTGCACATTAACTTTATGGTAGGGCTCTGGCCCACTCACCTACTTGCCTCATGTGGTTATGGGATGGCAATAAATTGTGTGTCAAAGGCTGCCCCTGTGCCAGTTGCTTCCTGCTGTCTTCCCTGTGCCTTCTGTGGTCATGGATGCCTGATGGGGTGACAGACCATCCCCAGTGGGCAGGCCTGTGCTGTGCTGACCACTGGTCTGTACTGTAACCTTTAGTATGGATACCGCTTCCATTGTCTTATCTGTGAAATTAGACCTCTGCAGGCTGGAGGCTGTCGTGACTGTCGAGGTGCATCTAACAGCTGTGTCTCACTGACAGCTATCCCTGCTTGGCGGTGCCCTGCCCATGTTTGAACTGGTGGAACAGCAGCCTTCCCATCTGGCCTGCCAGGATGTCCTGAACCTGTCCCTAGGTGAGTGCTGAGACTGTGGGGCCAAGTCTGGGTGGGCTAGTCCCCTGTCCCTACCTCTTATAGTCTGTTCATATAGTCTGTGCCTGCCGCAAGCCCTCAGGTCTTGGTCATTTTCCTTTTAACCATTAATGTTTATATGAGTGCCAGGTGCAAATAGTTGATAGGGCACTGTAGAGCACTCCATGCCTCAAACCCTGAGCTTGGCAGCAGCACAGTATGTCCATGTTCTGCAAGACATGTTCCCACAGGTTCCTTGGGCACTGTAGTGACAGGGCACAACAGGTTTTGCGATGATGAAGTCCAGTCTAACAGCCACTGTGGGTGAACAATCGTGGCTCCTTGACCTATGACTAGTGTGCCTGTGGGGGGCATAGCCCAGGTCCTATGGCTCAGCACAGTAGAGTTCAAGGACTGGTCTTGGGAGACAGTGGATGGAAGCCTGGCCAGACCTGCTCATTCCTCAGCTGGTGCAAGGACTGGGTGCCCTCACCCTCCTGGGCTGCTGCCAGCCCCTATCACTTGTCTGCTGGCAGGAGTCAGATTCTGTTCTCTTCTCTTTGGTGGAGTTCCCATCCCTCTTTAGGGCCTTGTCACTTGCTCATGGGTCTGGACCCCTTTATACCTGTTAAGACTCTCCAGTCAGGAAGGGGCTTTCAGGGCCCAGCAGGCCTCTTCTAGTCTGTCCCCCTCTCCTAACATCTTCCCAACCAACCCACACCCATACCAGCTCCTGAGAGATGCCTAATGTTTTTCTTGTTCCTTCCAGATTCTTCGGATGTAGAGAGGCTGGAGAGGTTCTTTGACTCTGAAGATGAAGACTTTGAAATCTTATCCCTCTGAAGATCCTGGGGTTTGGGGATGGCCTCCATGGCCCTCGTTGGGGTGCTTTGAGAACCCAGACCTGCCTTGGGCACTCAGTGTCACCGCATTCCATCCACCCAGCCCACCCCTGCCGAGTGCTGTGCGCCTGTGCCACCTCTGTCCAGAGGGCCTGCTCTGCTCATGGACCAAGGACTGCGGGGCCTGGAGGCCTTACTGCTTGGAGTCAGACTGCCTAACCCCAAACACGCGAAGGGCCTGTCCACATGAGAAGTCGCCCGTCAGAAGGCCTAGTCAGGAAGAGCAGCAGGTCAGGAGCTTCCAGAGTTCTCCACTTGACACTGCCAGCCCTGGTCAGCACATCAGCTTTGGTTCTGCTTTCTCCTGGGCACCTGGGTCTGTGGTTTATTTGGAATTAAAGCCCTGTTTGAAGTTGTTTAACAAAGACATGAGTTTCTAGGGCACTTCCCAGGTCAGTCTTAGAAGACCTGCAGGTTGACGTGTACAGAGTCTCAGCCAAGTCATAGCCTCATACTGCTGGGCAGGGTGAGATTTTGGGCTGTCTCCTCTGCCCAGTGTGATTTATCAAGGGCTACCTCAGTGGGAGAGCATATGGAAAGATTACAGCAAGATTGCTACTTGCTTTGGAGAGAAAGTATTCTGGTGGGGCATTTGGAAAACCCAAAGATAACAGTGTACATGGGCCCAGTGTGGACACCTGAGCCATGGGGCAGCTGACAAGCTCCTAGGGTGTCTGGAGCCATGGTCCGGAGGCTCCCCATCAGGACCCCACTAGGGAAGAGATTTGTCTCCTATAAGGGGTTGACGCATTTCAAGACACACCGCCTGCTGCTGTTAGCTTGCCACCCAGCTTCTCTCTGGGAGGAAAGGGAGGGGAGCAGAGCTGCTCTTTGCTTGTGACACTGTGCCCGCTGGTGGTAGGGGACACATTGCTACTTGAGCCTTCTTCCATGTTCTTGCCCTTCTCAGAAACCCTCCTGGGTCACAGAGAATCGTAGATGGTTTGGGGCCAAAAAGGTTAAGGAGCTCTGGCTTTTAGTGCACAGTGGACATTTAAACAGAGCAGGTAGCTCCAGGCACTAGCAGGCCAAGTGTCCAGTCCCTCCTTGGCACTCACTTTCATACCTGCCACCTTCTCACTCTGGCTTTCTGGGCCTTCAAGCTTTGATGCTCTAGGTCTGCTGTCTTAGAGAGCGGCCTCTCCTCCCCCTAGACTATATGAACAGGGTATGGCAGCCTGAGATGGCCCTTGTAGGAGCTTTTGCTAAAAGCCCTTCCACAGGACCCTGTAAATGGGTGAGGCTGGAGCTGCTCCTTGATGGCATATGCCAGCTATGGCAGCTTTAAGTAGCCCACAGAGTAACAAGGGATACCCCTACCTGCCAAGTGTTGATGACATAATTTATTTCCTCTTAATCTTTCTCCTATATCGTGTCCCTTAGCCCCATTCCTCTGGGGCTCCACTTCCTGAATCCAGTAGCCATGTGCTGCTGTGGCCCGAGGTCTTGCTGCAATTCCTGCTGATGGTACTAAAGGTGGATGTGTGGAACACTACAACCTGAGAAAAGCTTCCTGAGGTTGTTCATTCTTAGTAGTACAGTTTGCAATTCTTAATGGTAAATAATAAGTTTCAGTAGAAAACAAAGTTTGTGTGTGTGTTGATTTTTCCTCCAGTTATGGTTGGCTGCTTTTAGTGTTGACAGGTAAAGATTTCCCCGCGTTGAACAAGTGAATCCTGCCCGCCTCAGGCCTAGCTGTTAGCCAGTCTCTTTTCCCTTTTATTGAATAGACATGTGGCCCTAAAAGGAAGAAGTGCAAGGAGAACATGATCTAAAAATGAGCAGGAGGCTGGAGGAATGACTCAACAGTTGTGAGCTCTGACTGTTCTTCCAGAGAGTTCAGTTCCCAGCACCTACCCCGCCCGGGGAGTTCACAACTGCCGCTGACCCCAGCTCCAGATGACCTAACAGCCCTGACCTCTGTGGGCACATACATAGCCAGGCAGTGGTGGCTAGTACTCGGAGGGGCAGAGGCAAGCAGATCTCTGTGAGTTTGAGGTACGCCTGGTCTACAGAGTGAGTTTCAGGACAGCTAGGGCTGTTACATAGAGAACCCTGTCTCAAAAAACAAACAAAAAAGCTTACTTAAAAATGAAAGTGGTAAAAAGCACCCACTTAGAAGGCTTGCCTCAGGTTTTCGCTAGACAGGGTCAGGCTGTACCTGACCTTGGCCTGGGGACTAGTAGGGATACAGCCAGGGTACAAGTAGGAGACTGAGGATCATCTCATCCTGCCTGGTGAAATCTCAGTGGGACAATCCTGGGTGAAGACTACCTGCTCTTGAGTCCAAATAAAGGAAAATTGCTGACCCAAATACAATGGCCCAAGGCAAGGCTTACCTTTCAGATTTGCTGTTGGCTTCCTATGACTGCTATGACTACATAGCACATGACCCACTGCTGGAACTTGTTACGGTTCTGGAGTGCAGAAATGCAGACTATGCTGTCGGTAGGGCTAACTTTCCAGCATCCAAAGGCTTCTATATTCCTGCAAAGGCTCTGCATCTCCTGACCTCGGGCTGCTTGTTAAGAGGCCGATGATGGGGGCTGGAGAGATGGCTCAGTTAAGAGCACTGGCTGCTCTTCCAGAGGTCCTGAGTTCAGTTCCCAGCAACCACATGGTGGCTCACAGCCATCTGTAATGAGGTCTGGTGCCCTCTTCTGACCTGCAGGCAGGACACTACATATATAATAAATAAATCTTTAAAAAAAATAAAGAGGCCAATGATGACCTACCTGGCTAATCCTCTAACTTTATTTTCTTTTTGAGAGTGTCTCATTGTGTAGCCCTGGCTAGTCTGGAACTCAGAGATCCACCTGCCTCTGCTTCCTTGGTGCTGGGATTAAAAGTGTGCATTACCACACCAGGGTAGTACTCAGCATCAAGGTACCACCCCATGCCATCTGCCTAGCTTGTATCCTTTTGATCCTGAGGAAGGTGCTTCACCTCACCTGCAACATACTCTACGAATATAGGCTGTATTCTACCAGGAAATGTCAAATCATCCTGTTTTGGAGGGGATAGTGTGAGAAGCTTCAGCAGCACAAAGAAAAAACAACAAAGTTATTATCAGTGAGTCTAGAGTGTTAAGCAGCATCGTGCCTCTTGATAAGCCTGGAGGCCTGAGAACACAGACTCAGAGCATGGGGCCTGGTAACACTGATCAAACCCACAGTGGAAATCCCATGAATAGTAGGCAGACCCATCTCTACAAATTCTTAGGGAAAGCCAGTGAAGTACATTTTCAGGTAGATTTTTATTAGTTTCTGTAAAAAATATGACTCCCAACTAACTGATGCTTTTTGTGACCTCAGTGAAACTGCCGAAAGTTATCACTAACGTTCAGTATGGAAATAACACCTTTAGGATCAAGGAATAGGCAAGGGAGATATTGCACAACTTGTCCATACCACCAAAATCTCGGGTTATGAGTGGAAGCTTGTAGGTTTCTTGTGCCAAGAAATAGCTCCTGCTGAACAGTGTTGAGTGTGGGCTTTCCACCAGTCTCCTGAGGACCAGAGATTGGTATCTGCAGTGGGTGCTCTGGGTTATTTCCACAGCTCCTCCAGTGGTCTCTGTGCAGCACTGCGGATGGCGTCCTCAGAGAGGACACGGATTTCTTCATGGACATCCTCAATGCTTTTGGAAGCATCAACCACCTGTCGTCACAGGGAGACAGCAGAAAGGATCATTATACCACCTTTCCTCTATTCCCAGTGCGTGTGGTGACCTCAGGGACCCTCCACCCACAGCTTTCTTTGAACCTGGTGTTCTTAGCACACAGCAGCCTGCATACCCACCATATCCCAGGCACAGGGGATGCAGGATGCATTAGCTGCCTGCCCATCTTGCTCCTAAGCAGGCTAAGCAACTATCCTCCAGTTGACTAGTAAAAACAGGCTCCATGCCAGGCACAGTGACCCACCCTTTATAGTTCCAGCACTCAGGTGGCAGAGGCAGATGGATCTCTGTGAATTCAAGGCCAGCCTGGACTACATAGTTCCAGGACGGCCAGGGCTACGCAGAGAAACCCTGTCTCAAAAAAAACAAAACAACAAAAAAACAGTTCCACCTTTCTTGAGGGCACTCCCAGGGTGTTTGGAAGATACACAGCAGGCCCCCATCAGCCTGGTTTGCTTCCTGTCCTCTTGGGAGATGAAAGCTGTCCTAATACAGCTGCTCTGTTCCTTGCAGGACAGGCAGATTAGGTGCAAACCAGGACAGAGAGTCAATAAATGTCAGCATCTCCAAGTCCCACCATCTAGAGGGGGTCTGGACAGGACCCTTGCTTCTGTAAGTCTGGCTAAGACCTTTGGCAGCAAATGTTTGAAAAGCTTCCAGGAGTGTAGAAGGTTATGGAAGGAATCCAACTATTTCACAAGGTGTGACTACTGCAAGAAAACTCCACAGGGGGTCGCCTCCTAGAAGGTAGCCCAGCAGCAGCCCTACTGCAGCCCTACTGCAGCCCTACTGCAGCCACATGACCCTTGCCCAGACTATTCAAGGTGGCGCTCTGGGCTGACAAGTAAAAGGGCATTACCATCTGTTCTAATGTAACAAGACGATGCAGAAACTTTGGACAAACCTCACAATCCTGAGGACATGTAACAAACAAAGGGCAAGTAATGCAAGGGAAACGGCGCCTTAGTAAAAACTGGCCTGTCATGTCTGGCACTACTTAAGTGCCAGGCTTGAAGTCTGGGAACCTCAGGCAACAGTCAGACACTGGCCTGTGCGGGCAATGCCAGGCCCACCAGGACTATTCTAGAGTAGATGATGTGCGGAGACAACTAGTCTGCAGGAAGGAAGGTGCAGTTAGGATCAGAGTTGGCTTCCATGCAAGGAACAAGATGGAAGTTCAAGCTATTTCCTGAGACCATTGTTGAAACAGTGGCGGAAAAAGGACCAGAGGGAAGCCTAGAATGGACAATTCCTGTGCCCCAGGAGATGGCCATGCATAGGCCTACAGGGCTCCAAAGAAATGGGCAGAGTGAAGTCCCAGGTTGTAGCTGTAGAGAAGGTACCTATAGTATGACTGAGAGCCAACAGGAAGAAGTCACAGCATGAGCTAAAAGGAAAAGTAAGATACATCTCACCATGCAACTGGCCAACTCCACCTGTGACAGTACTACCTAAGTATAATCCAATTATAGACAGTACACTGCAGAGCCATTCCTATGAGAAAGACCAGAGAATAAAGTGTGATGTAGCTTGCAAGACTACGTGCTGAATGGCCAGGTTACATGGCTAAAGGCTTGTACAGGGTAAGATGCAGATATTTGCTGGGGTTCATCTTTCAGTCTAGTGGATATAGAGTATCTCATTCTTCATGAGGACTGTTTGTCTCAAACTCATCTGGTCCACCAGACAAAGCAGGAGTCTTAGGGTTTTGTAAAACTGATATGATTAGAATCTGCTGGCACGGGGCTGGATGGATGCTCAGTGGTAGGTGAGACCCTCGGTTCTGTAGCTAGCACCACTACTATCACCAAAAAGGCTGCTGGCAGAGAACCAGAATAGCTTCCCTGAAGTTTCACAGGTGGGCAGCCAAAACACTACACCAGCTGTGCTGATGTCAGCAGAGGGTAGGCTATCACACGGCTCCTCAGTGGCTGGCTGTATGTAGCCAGGACTCACCTTCCAGTTCAGGTTTTTATCCTTCATGAGCTGCTGGAAACACAGCAGAACCTGCTCCTGGAAAGTCCCAGTCTCATAGCGCTCAAGACCGAACTCCCCCCGTGCAGCAGCATCCAGCAGGTGTAACTGGAGGAACAGGACGAGGTCAGGTTTGGGAAGGCCCACGTCTGGCTGTTTGCACCAATCCAGGGAAAAATTCTGCCAACAGAGAAAGAGAACTGAGTGGGGTGTAATCTTTTGCTTCAAAATGTGGGGTTGGAGGACCTGCTGGAAGTAAGAGTTAGCAGGATGGTATCACAGCTCTGTGCTCTGCAGTCTACTATGAACTTCATTACATCCCGGACCCTGTCTCAGAATAAGGCATGGCATATGTAGATATCCTGGTGGTATAGTCAACCCAGAAAGGCTGAGGTGGGAAGTAGCTCATTCCAGAGACAGGAAGAGCAGAGCTCTGTGCTGTACGCTTTCATCTGTACTCCTCCCGATAAACACCGAAGGAAACAATCTATCCTGGAAGCCCACCGTATGCTTGCCTGCCTACTAGATCTCATGTACATAGTCTCACTTACTCATCTCATCAACTTGCTAAAAATGTCATTTCCGGAAGAAAAGTAGGGCTACAGAGGCCATCCTATCCCCCCGAAACACTATAAGCTCAAGAAGTAACCCCAAAGACCCTCCCAACAGGGCCATAGTGTGCCAGTCATCTGTCCTGGCTTCCTTATACAAACGAAATACTTCATTGGGGAAGGACTCTAACATATGTAAAAGAAACAACAGAATTTAAAAGGTTACTGTCGCTTGGCAATCTGTCATCCTCAAGGGCTATTATATGAAGACATTATCAGACACCATCTGCTTCCTGAGAGGACCCAGCACTTTTAGAAGTTTACAGAAGAACGAGGTAAAAGCACGAAGCCAGGTGTGGTGACAGCACTTGCAAAGGGGCAGCAAGAAGATAGTTCAAGTTCCTCCTTGGCTACAGAGTTCCAAATCAAGCTGAGCTACAGAAGACCTGGTCTCAAAATCAAAACAAAACAAATGCAATTCCAGTACTTCGGAGCTAGAAGCAGGAGTTCGGTGTTATTATTGCCTATATAGTGGGTTCAAGGCCAGCCAAAAACTGTCTAAAAAAACAAAACAGTAAGGTTTGGGGCGGGGGGCAGATGCTGGGCTGTGGTGGCGCCTTTAGTCCCAGCACACAGGAGGCAGAAGCAGGGAGGTCTGAGTTCAAGGTCAACCTGGCCTACAGAGTGAGTTCCAGGACAGTCAGGGCTACACTGAGAAACTGTCTCAAAAACACAAAACAACAGCAGCAACAAAAAATAACAAAGATTTGGGGGAGCTGGGCAAGCACATGCTTTACCAGAGTCACACTCTCCTACATGGAGAGATTGCTTAGCTGCTAAGAGCACTTACTGCTCTTCTAAAGGACCCACATTCCCAGCATCCATGTGGTGGCTAACAATTCCCCGTAACTCCAGTCTCAGGGGATCTGACACCCTCTTCTGGCCTCTGTGGATGCAAGTGTATACATGCAGGCAAAATGCTCATACACATAAAGGAAAATGAATGCATCTTTTAAACAAAACAAAACTCAGAGTTACACCCTCAGCACTCAGAATATTTTAAACGAAATGCCAGAAAGAGATGTGGGAACTTACACATCAAAAGACTTAAAGGACTGGAGATATAGCTTAGTGGTAGAGCAATGGCTACCATGTGTGAGGAGGCCCTGGGTCCAAATTCCCAGCCGAAAAAAACTCCAAAAAACCCACTTCAGCCAGTGAGATGGTCCAGCTTGTAAAGGCCTGCCCTTCCCACACAGCCTGATACCTGAGTTAAATCCCCAAAATTCAGTGTAACAAGAGAACCAGTTCTCCAAAGTGGGCCTCTGACCTCTACATGTCTGCCATGGCACACATGCCCTAGCCTCCATCCTTACAAACAATAACAACAAATAAAAATAAGAAAGAGGTGTAAGAGGCACACGAAGCATCGACCTTAGTCAGATTCTGGTTTAATAAAAATACAAAGCAATCAGCCAGCTCTTGAGAGCTGGGAACCATGAATACTGCATGTCTAGTGGCCGAGATCTGTGTTTAGGCGAGACTGTCCTTACAATGTAACTGTCTTGGGCTAGGAGTAGTGCCTCTCTCCTGGAATCTCAGCACTCAGAAGGTTGAGACCGGAGGATTACAAGTCTGAGGCCATCACGATCTACCTAGTGAGTTCCTCTCAGTCTGGGCTACAAGAGACCCTGTCTCAAAAATAACAATCCCAGGTGTTGGAGAGATGGCTCAGGAGTTAAGGCACTGGCTGCTCTTCCAGAGGACCTGGGTTCAATTTCCAGCATTCACATGACAGCTCACAATGGTTTGTAATGCCAGTTCCAGGGGATCCAACACCCTCTTCTGGTCTCCATGAGCACCAGACATACATACAGATAAAATACCCATATAGATAAAATTAAAAAACCCAATCCTAGAGATAGGGAGGCAGAGGACAGGCAGACAGGTGGATCTCTGTGAGATTGAAGTCAGCCAGGTCTACATAGTGAATTCCAGCACCTGCCCTGGCTACACAGTGAGACCCTGTCTCAAATGAACAATCCTCCCCTTCATACCAACACACACACACACACACACACACACACACACACACACACACACGGTTACATCTTAGATGTATACCAAAACATTTATTAAGAACTGACAAAGCCGTCTGATAACAGAGCAGAGGATTTGAGTGTCCCTGAAGCTGATGGTACTATGGGAGGTTTTCTGTTGCCAAATAGTTGAGGTTTAAAAACTAAAAAGCACTGTCAGATGTGGTGGGGCAGGCCTTTAATCTAGCACTTGAGGCAGAGGCAGATGGGTGGCTGATTCATGGTGAGTCTGGTCGACACAGTGAGTTCCAGGCCAGCAAAGGCTACATCGTGAGACCTTGTCTGAAACAAACATAAGTGGCAGAATTTTTTTTTTTAGAAATAAAGAAAAAAGGGCAGTGCAGCTACCACCATTACACACAGGAAGCGGTGAGGAGAGAGTAGAGGGGCCCGAGGCGGCGGCCCCAGTGTCCCAGCCATTCTCCATCTGGTCACAAAGCGAGGCAGTGCATGAGAGTCTCACACGACACTGTGAAAAACAACCTGCCAAGTGCATTTATTGATTAAAAAAAAACAAAAAACAAAAAACATGTCAATCTCGAGAGAGGGTTAAAGGGATGCCAGAGTCATCAGATTCCTCAGAGTAACTTGAACACGTACTCACTGTGGTCGGTGACACTGAAAATGAAGACAAGCAGATCAGGGCCCACACCTGGCAACCCGAAACAGATGCCACACTCTACTCACCTCCTTGGCGCTAGTGAAGGCAACCCCGGAAAAGGCGTATCTGTCCAAAACAAGGGTCACGCCCTGGTTCAACTTGGCCTTAATTAGTGGCCTGAAAAAACAGAATGCTCTTGAGTGCTGGAACAGGTTTCCCAAACTACCCCAACTTGGAAATCCCATACAATTAAATTAGAGCACGGGGATTTATAAACTTATTTACAAAGCTGTACATCTTCTCTCTAGGTGATGCCAGTGGACACTTCCACCCTGCCCTGCTGAGGAAAAGGAGAACCAGCAAAGAGCAAAGGATGGCGGAGGGCACGGGGAGCCAGAAGGTGAGGCTGATACTTGTGCCCAAGTCTGAACTACAAGTGTAAGAGGAGACAAAATATCAAGGATGTTTTCCACCAAACACCACAGGCTCACCATCATTGCCAGTGTGCCAAACCTTAGACGTGTGAAGAGGAAGGGCTTAGCATGAGCCAAAAAAAGCGTCACTGAAGACACAAAGGCAAGATTCATCCCACTTAGCACACCTCACAGGAGGCATTCAGTTTTTTTTTTTTTTTTTTTTTGGGGGGGGGGGGGGGGAGGAGGCTGAACAGGTCTCACTATGTAGCCCAGGCTGTTCTAGAATGAGTTATGCAGCCTTGGCTGGCCTCCAGCTCTTGATCTTTAGGGCATGGTGGCACAAACCTGGAATCCCAACGCCTGTGAGGCTAAAGCAGAGAACCCCAAGTTCCAAGCCAAACTAAACTATGTATACAGCAGGACCTTTAAGAGTTTTTGTTTAAGATTTGTTTGTTTTATGTGTGAGTGCTCTATCTGCATGTATGACTTTATGCCAGAGAGGGTATCAGATCCCACTAAAGATGGTTGTGAGCCACCATGTAGTTGTGCTTGGAATTGAACTCAGGACCTCTGGAAGAGCAGCCAGTGCTCTTAACCACTGGCTATCTCTCCAGCCCCAGAGTTTTTTAATGTATGAAGCTAGAGTCAGTAATGTGAACATATAAAAGAAAAAAAGAAAAAAAGAATCGAGTCAAGTAGTAGTGACACACGCCTTTAACCTCAGCATTTGGGAGGCAGAGGCAGGTGGATCTCTGTTTGAGGCCAGCATGATCTACAAAGAGTATTCCAGGACAGCCAGGGCTACACAAAGAAACCCTGTCTTGAAAAACAAAACAAAACAAAAAGGAAAAGAAAATCTAAACCCACCAGATCTTACACCCTTCACAAATTAACATAGATAGACCCTAGACCTAAATATAAAACAGGAAACTTTAAAAAAAGAGAGAAGGGTGGCCTGGAGAGATGGTTCAGAGGTTAAGAGCACTGGCTGCTCTTCCAGAGAACCTGAGTTCAATTCCCAGCACCCACATGGTGGCTCACAACCATCTATGAGACCTGGTGCCCTCTTCTGGCCTGCAGGCAAACATGCAGGCAGAACACTGTATACATAATAAATAAATCTTTCTTAAAAAAATAAAAAGAGAGAGAGAAGCCAGGAGGTTATGGTGCACACCTTTAATCCCAGTACTTGGGAGGCAGAGGCAGGTGGATCTCTGTGAATTCGAGGCCGGCATGGTCTACAGAGCAAGTTCTTGGACAGCCAGGGCTACAGAGAAACCCTGTCTTGAAAAATCAAGAGAGAGAGAGAAAGCCTGGTTGCCCTTGGGTCGGACAACACTAAAGACCAAATCCATGCAAGGCCCGATATGCTAACCTCGGTAAAATTAAGCTGTGCTGTGCAAGAGACTATTAAACAATACAAGCCCCAGAATGGAAGAGAGAATGCATGAAAGGCATTTCTGACAAATGACTGACATGCTAAGGATGGGCCCTTAAAGTGCAACCAAGAAAACAGCAGCCCTTAGGGGGCTGAGGTAGAAACGCCCTGGGCTGCAGAGCGAACCACTACCCCCAAAAGAAAAGAAAAAAGTTGGGGCCTGGGGAGATGACTCTGTGGATGAACTGTTTGCCGTGTAACCAGGAGGACTTGAGTCCGGTCCAGAACCCCAAATTAGTGAGCTCAACGTTCAGGAAGAAACCTTGTCTCAGGTGGGCGAACGCGAGGGCAGTCTGGGCTACAAGGCAAGTTCCAGGATAATCAGGGCTGTTATACAGAGGAACTCTGTCTTGAAAAACCTTTAAAAAAGGAAATCTTGTCTCAGGGCTGGGGAGATGGCTCAGCAGTTAAACACTTGTTGCTCCTGCAGAGGATCCGGGTTTGGTTCCAGCATCCATATGGCAGCTCACAACTGCCTCTAACTCTAGATATAGGGATCTGGTCTCCATGGGCTGCGGGCATGCATGAGAGGCACAAGCATCCATGTAGGCATTTATACTACACAAAAATGCACACATATAAACCCGCACATGTGTTCACACACATGTCTGCATGTGACAAGTGGGGAGCAGAGAGTCAGTATTTACACTTGTTCCCAGCGGTTTGCAGAAAAAAGCAGGTGCACTGCGTGATCCTCCAGTTCTGTTTTCTTTTCTAAGTAGGAATTCAGAAGCCTGCCGATTTCTGTGGATCTTTCTAGAAAGAGAAAATTACAAAGACTCCTTAAGTCGGACTTTTCACTCAAATTATACTACAGTTTGCACTGACGTTTTCGACTTGTACTCATATCTAGCTCTAAAACTTTATTAAACCTCTAGACAGGTTTGGACCATCTGTGGAGAAGTCAGAGGAGTTTCCCTGAGAGAACGCATTAATGTGCAGAGACCATGTAAAGTCTTGGTTTCAAAAGTCCTCGTAAGACTTTTGACTGGTTGGCTTGTGTTATAACTTAAAAGTGGCGGGAAAGAGTCACACCCTACAACAGAGCACACATGGGAGATTTATTGAGGGGAGGGGAGGGAAGGGGGCAGAGACAGGGGAGGAGAGCGAAGGAAGAGAAAGAGAAAAAGACGGGAGGTGGGCAGGGCCCTCCTTTTACAAGGAAACTTAGCAAATGCACACACGGGGTGCACTGAGTGGCTGTAGCTGAAGATATAGCCCGTCAGGACCCTAAGGGCAGGCCAGTACAGATGCCTAAATGCTAACAGCTTGAAGATGCAAATATCCAACAAAGCAGTTTTCCAATTCCCTACCTACTTAATTTGTAGGATTAGGGTTGGTGTTCTGGTGCACAGGGGTGAAGCCCAGAGGTTAACCTCATGTTCCTTTTTTCTTTTTTTTTTTCTTTTTTTGGTTTTTCGAGACAGGGTTTCTCTGTGTAGCTTTGTGCCTTTCCTGGATAATGTTCCTTTTCAAGAGCAATCTACCTTGTGTTTTTGGAAAGGGTCTTCACTGGGAGCTGACGCTCAATTTTGGCTAGACTGGCTGGCCAGCAGGCCTCAGGAACAAGGAACGAGCCTGTCTCCACCTCTCCAGCACTGGGATTATAATCAACTATACTGGCTTTTTACATGGAAGATTGAACTCTGTGTGCACTTTACCAACTAAGCTATCTCCACCAGCCCAGGGGTGGCACTGCCCACAGTGAGTTGGGCTCTCCCATATCAATAGTCAATCAAGAAAAATGTCTCACAGGCTTACCTGCAGGCCAATCTGGTGGGGGCCATAGTCTCAATTGAGAGCCCCTCTTCCCAAATGACACTAGCTTGTGTCAAGGTGACATAAAACTAGCCAGCACACCCATGCACAGTAATAAACAAGTGTTCTACTAAAGTTCTTAAAAATACAAAAACAGATGCTCCCAAGAGTGAGAACTCTCAAGGCCCGCCCACTCGCCCGCCTGCGCACCGGGGAAACGCAGCATCTCGGCTTGGTGGCCCGAGTCGCACAGTGCGGTCACCAGCCTGAGGCCCTGCGTGGTCTTGCCAGCACGGTCCACGCCCTCCAGCACGATGAGCGCCCCCCGCCGCGACGCCATCGCCACCGCCGGCCCGCACAGCTCCCGCCAAACTGTCAGGTTCCCGCCAATGTTAGATGCTGCAGGAGGCGGGAGCGCGCAGGTCCTCTGGCTGCACCGCCTCTTCCGGCTGGAAGCTGAATTCTGTAGCCTGCAGGGAACCGGTTCCGGACGTTGCGTAGCCCGTGGCCGGGGTCCCAGCCGCCTGGTGACCTCCCACTCGCGGAACTTCCGTTTGCAGCGCCCTGCGAGGGCCAGTCTTACGGAGTGGGATTGTGCACGCTCCGGTCACGTGGAAAACCTACAACAGTAACGGAATCAAATTTTCATGCCCCTGAGCGCGCAACTGCAGGGTTCTAAAAGTTTCTTATCACAAGGAAAGAGCCATCTTATGTTTTCTGCTCTGAAACAAGTAAAGATACGAGCATCGGACTCCCAAGAGGTGCTGAGGCATCGTCAACGCGCTCACGAATGTTTGTTCTCGTTTTAGTGTTACTGGGATTGTGTCGAAAACCCGAAGTTGGTGAAAGGAAATTGATTTATTTGCAGCGCTGGCCCGAACAGAAAAATTCCCACTTTTTTTTGCTTTGCCCCTAGTAGTGTTTTTATAGAAAAGATTAAAGCCAGGAGGGATATATGTGCAGGAGGCAGGCAAAATTTCTGTGAGTTTGAGGCCAGCTTGATCTACATAGCAAGTTCCAGGACAGGCAAGGCTGCATTGTGAGGCCCAGTCGCAAATAAAACAATGGCATTCTAGAGGCTGAGGCAGAAGGGTTCCGAGTTAAAGGCTAGCCTGGGCTACATTTCAATAAGACTGATCAAGGAAGTACTCAGTCGGTAGTGCTTGCCTAGCATGAATGAAGCCCTGGATTCCACACCCAGCACGAATAAACTGGATATAATGAGTGATATATCTCATAATCCTGGGCACTTGGGAGGTAGGGGCAGGATCAGAAATTCAAGGTCTGTGCAAACATCTGAACTGACACCCAGTCAAAGAAGGTACTCAGGATAACAGATATGTAAACATGCTCAACATAAACATTATTAGGAATCATGAATTTAAAAGAAGATAATTTCGGGCTGGAGAGATGGCTCAGCGGTTAAGAGCACTGACTGCTCTTCCAGAGGTTCTGAGTTCAATTCCCAGCAACCACATGGTGGCTCACAACCATCTGTAATGAGATCTGGTGCCCTCTTCTAGCCTGCTGTCATATATGCTGTATACATAATAAAAAAATAAAATCTTAAAAAAAAAAAAAAAAGAAGATAATTTCGCACCTCTTCTAGAGTAGCCAAACCTGTAATTCTGACCATAGAACATGCTGGTAAGGATGTGGAGCAAAGGAAACTCCAATGCTGATGAGAAAGCAAAAACAATGTGTGGCCACTTTGGGAGACAGCTTGGCTGTTTCTCAGGAAACCACTCTTCTCTTACTATATGGCCAATAGAATGAGTTGGAAACTATGTCTACAGAAAATCCTGCTCACAAATGGTTGTATCACTTCTATCGACACTTGCATGAATAGAGAAGCAACTAGGATGTTCTCCAGCAGATAAGCTGATAATTGCACAGTGGAATGCTTCTCAAATAAAAAAGGAATGAGCCATCAAGTCATAATAGGACATGAGAGAACCCGAAGTGCACAATGGTAAATGAAGCCAGCCTGAAAGGATCGTAAACCCCGACTTCATGGCACTCTTGGAAAAAAGCAAAGCTACAGAGATTCTAAACTGTTAATTCGTTACAAGAGTATGTGGGGGGTGTCCCATACTGTGGTAGACCAGAGGAATTTAAGGCAGTGAAATATTCTTCAGAATGCTGTAAGGGGAATACTTAATACGTATTTGTCAGAAATATTAGACCCCACCAAGAGTGAACTTTATCGTAAACTATGGATTTTAGTTAATAATGTATCAATATTGTTTCATTAACTATAACAAAGTTACCATAGGAATGCAAAAATGTCTACAACTGAGGAAATTGTTAGAGAGCCCTCTGAGGAATATATGCTCAATTTTTCAGGAAACCCAAGACTACTTTAAAAAGGGTTACTAGTGTTTAAAATGAGCTCCAAAACAGAGACATTTAAACAAAAAAGCGGGTACAGTGATGTCCTGTTTATTCTCTCATTAGGCATTAAATGTGTCCAGGAACAGCACCTTCTTCAAAGTGAAGACCATTGGTTTAGTATTTGGAGAGAGTGGGAAACATTTTAAATTTCTGTATAGTTTGAAATTTTTTTATAGAATAAATGCTTCTAACATTTGAACAATCCGATTAAAAAATGGGCTAAAGAGCTAAACAGAGATTTCTCAAAAGAAGAATCTCAAATAGGTGAAAGACATTTAAGGAAATGCTCATATCCCAGGCACTTGGGAGGTAGAGGCAGGATCAGAAATTCAAGGTCTTAGTCATCAGAGAAATGCAAATCAAAATGACTCTGAGATACCACCTTACACCTGTCAGAATGGCTATGATCAAAAACACCAATGACAGTCTATGTTGGAGAGGATGCGGAGCAAAGGGAACACTCCTCCACTGTTGGTGGGAGTGCAAACTTGTACAACTACTGTGGAAATCATATGGCGGTTTCTCAGAAAATTGGTAATCAATCTACCTCAAGACCTAGCCATACCACTCTTGGGCATATATCCAAGGAATGCTCAATCATACCACAAAGATACATGCTCAACTATGTTCATAGCAGCATTATTCGTAATAGCCAGAACCTGGAAACAACCTAGATGCCCGTCAATTGAAGAATGGATTAAGAAAATGTGGTACATATACACAATGGAGTACTACTCAGCAGAGAAAAACAATGACATCATGAAATTTGCAGGCAAATGGATGGAACTAGAAAATATCATCCTGAGTGTGGTAACCCAAACCCAGAAGGACAAACATTGTATGTACTCACTCATAAGTGGATACTAGATATAAAGCAAAGAACAATTAGACTGCAACCCACAGAACCAAGGAGACTACCTAGCAGGGGGGAACCTAGGGTGACTGTGGCTTATAATAAGTTTTGGTTTTGCCCAATCACTGGGCAAGCCTCAATGAAACATTTCACTATTAGGATAAGAATTTGTAGTGTATCAAGCTGATAATAATAAAAAATAAATAAATAAAAAACAACAAAATAAATCAATAAATTTCTGTATAGTTTGAATTTTTTATAGAATAAATGCTTCTAAGGCTGGGAATATAATCACTTGGTAGAATGCTTACCAATGTTCGAGCCCAGACACCAAGTAAACTGGGCATGGTGGCACACCCCTGTAATATTAGCACTTGGGAGGTGGAGGCTGGGAGGATCAGCTCAAGGTCATCTTCAGTCACATATGCAGATTGAGGGCAACCTGAGCTACATGGCCCCAAAAACTGCATTTTAAGTAATGAGGACTGTGGGCCAGGCAGTGTGGTGACACACACCCTTAGTTCCAACACTGGGGAGGCAGAGGCAGCTAATCTCTGAGTTCAAGATCAGTTTAGTCTACTTAGCAAGTGTGAGGATAGCCAGAGCTACATAATAGGGAGACCCTGTCTCAGAAAACCCAAAAGAAGAAAATAATAATAATAAAAACCCCTGCCAGGCAGCGGTGGCACACACTTTTGAGCCCAGCACTCGGGAGGCAGAGCCAGGAGGATCTCTGTGAGTTTGAGGCCAGTCTGGTGTACAGAGTGAGATCCAGGAGAGCTACCAAAACTACACAGAGAAACCTTGTCTCGAAAGATCAAACCAAACCAAAACCAAAAAAACCTGCTTTTGGGGGACTGAAGAGATGGCTCAGAGTTTAAAAGCATTTGCTGCTCTTGGTTCAGTTCTCAGTACCCACATGGTGGCTCACAACTCTAGTTTCAGGGAATCTGATGCCCTTTTCGGGCTTTCCTGGGCACACCGGTATGTGACCCTCATACACGTAAAAAAAAAAAAAAAAGTCTAAAAATGATACAACCAATTATCTCAGGGGTGGAGGATGGGAGGGGTTGTTCTGGCACTGTTTCTGTAGCCCAAGCTGTTCCTTGGCCCTGGAGCTTTCAGGACCGGAACCCCTTACTTCTGGCCTGTGTGAAGTGACAGAGTAGAAGCAGGATTGGCGCGTGGTGCCTAAAATTTCGCCCATGGTAAGGTGACCTGCTGACGTACCACATAGCCTAAGTCAGAAGCTCATTTAATAGTAAAAGGGGGACCTGTAGGGTCCTAGCTCCCGTTTTGGGTAACTGTTGCCTTGCTTGCTGACCTTGACCTTGATATCTTCCCTATGCTAATTCCCTCCCGGGTTCCACCCTCCTGAATGCTTAAGGGAAATTCCTTGTCTGTGTATCCTGCATAATGGGTGTTAACAGCTTAGATGCAAGATCATAAAACATCGGTAGCGAACTTCAGCCCTCCGGGATTCTCCCATTGTGCTGTAAGCCTGTATTTAAAACCTCTTCCCTCCTTCAATAAACAGCATTCGGCATTAAAAAAAAAAAAATTTCGCCCATGAAACTTTGCTGGAGATATTTTCCTAATCTTAGTAGGTTCAATGTAGCAGAGAGATCCGTGGTGACTGGGCTGCGTGTCCATGATAACACTGAATAAGGTTCGGACACAGAGGAAACACAATTCAATCCCACTGTTGTGCCCTGATCTCCAGGACCCCCGAAAGACCACTGTGGAGGCTGAACCCCAAAAGTAAAAGCAAAGACCCTTTATTTCAAGCTCAGGATTGGCTGACACTTGAGGGTGTAGGTGGGTGCTGTGCTAGGAATGTTTGGAATGTCAGTTATTCCCCCTTAGATGCAGGCCCTCCCTGGGTGGGGTCAGCTCATGGTCTTTCCTGGATCCCGGAGTTGCCTGCCAGCAAGCCTGTCACAGAAGCTGTGTCTGGGTATCCAGGCCTGTCATGGCGGCTGTGTGGTCAAGCCCCCCTGGGTCCCGCACATCCACCATCTGACATATTTAAGTAGCACAACCACCCTTTTGTTTGTCTTTAGAGTCAGGGTTTCTCTGTGTAGCTGTGGTTGTCCTGGTGTTATGCCCAGATCGCAAGGACCCCCCCCCCCCCAAAGACCACCAGGGAGACTGAATCCCGAGTGTAAAAGCAAAGAGCCTTTATTTCAAGTTCCAGAGCTTGGTCCCTCTGTCCGACACAGCGGTGAGAGCAGAGAACTCTGAGCTCAGGTGGGGCAGAGTTTTTATCATAGCAGAGGTTGGGGTGAGGGGATTTCCAGGGTACGGGACCCTGATTGGCTGACATTTGTCTAGGGGTATCTGTAAAACAAAACTAGGTGTGTGCTAGACTCAAGGACACCTGGCCACCTTATCTAATGGTTGGAATGTTTGGGATGTCAGATACTTCCTCACCCCTGGGTAGATCCCTGGGTGGTATCAGCTTAAGGCTTTTCCTGGATCTGGGTGTTGCCTGCCAGTAAGCCTGTCCCAGAAGCTGTGTCTAGGCCCCTAAGCCTGTCATGGCTGCTGTGTGGTCAAAGCTATTTTTGGGCCCCTTCACGCTGGAACTCACCCTGTAGACCAGATTACCTTCAGACTCAGAAATCTGCCCGCCTCTGCTGTGCTAGGATTAAGGCAGGAGCCACCACTGGCCCGCTAACTTCCCCCCACCTTGTTTTTTTTGAGGATGTCTCCCTAGTCTGGGCGGGCATGGAACTGGCTACATAGACGAGGGCAGGCCTTGAACTCATGGAGATACACCTGCTTCTCCCTCTGAGTGTTGGGTTTAAAGGCACGTGCCACTACGCCCAGCTTTTCCAGGTTTTTTTTTTTTTTTTTTTTTTTTGCAGGCATCTAGATGTGCATGGCTTCACCAAGTACGGGTCAAGACACGCAGGTCCGGTGTGGGCACGCCCCTTGGAGAGACTAGATAGCTACAAAGAGGATCAGTGTTAACCACGGCCTGTGTGTGTGTGTGTGTGTGTGTGTGTGTGCATGTTGGGGAGTGAGGGGGAAGACGTCTCCTTAACTCTGTGTGTGTGTGTGTGTGTGTGTGTGTGTGTGTGTGTGTGTGTGTGTGTGTGTGTGTGTGTGCATGTTGGGGAGTGAGGGGGAAGACGTCTCCTTAACTCTGTGTGTGTGTGTGTGTGTGTGTGTGTGTGTGTGTGTGTGTGTGTGTGTGTGTGTGTGTGTGTGTGCATGTTGGGGAGTGAGGGGGAAGACGTCTCCTTCCTGGACGACCACACTGCCAGGTTCGAGAAACCACAGGCAGCTCGCGCCGGCTCTGGGCTTGGCCAGCCCCCAGGTCTGAACAAGGCCGGCACAGTGGCCGAGAGGCAGGCGCGGGCTGGAAGGTGAAGCGGGGAGCCAGCGCACGTGCAGCGGGGTCCCCCAGTCCAGCGCTCCCGACAGGGCACCGCCGAGGGCTGGCAACTCGGCGGGAGCAGCAGAAGTAGCTTCCGCCTTGCAAACCACGATCGGACTCCATCGCCCACCCGCAGTCCCTCAGGGAAAGCCCCAGAGCGCCGCCTGGCGACCGCGGCCGGCCGGAAGCATGGGGGTGGGCCCCGACGTGCCCCGCCCCTCCGCCGGCCAATCGGCGCGCGCGGCTCATGAATAGTGAGCGCGCGGCGCCGCCCCGCCCCGAGTCCGCGGCACCGCCCGCTCGCGCAGACCCCGAGCGTGGCCGCAGCGAAGATGGCGACTGCCATGTACTTGGAGCACTATCTGGACAGTAAGCACCCTGGCCGAGCCGCCGCCCTCGCGGGTCTGCGCCGCCGCCGCCGCCCCTGGCCCGCCGCGACCCGTGCGGGGCCCCGGGGTGCGGTCGCGGGCGGGGACTGGTCTTGGGGATAGTGGGGGCTCACGGCCGGTCTGGGGCGGGGCCGTGGATGGAGGGCGTGGGGCGCGGCGCGGGGTCCCGCCGCCTCCGCCGCGCCAATTCCAGGTGCGTCACGGAGGGGCGGGGCCGGCGGCTCAGCCCGCCCTCTCCGCTTCGGCCACACCCCCGACGCTGACCACGCCCCGGTCCCCTCCCCTCCAGTTCAGTCTTGCTTGCGGGAGGTCCGCCCCTTCTTAACCTGCTGCTTCTGTTTGCATTTGGAATCGTAGTAGGGAGCTCTAGGCTAGTGGGGTGCGCTCTTTTCGCGGGAACTCATGCTGCCACAAGCCAGTCCGCCAAGGGAGGATGTCCTGAATAACGGATTGATCTTTGACGTCCCAGGCATGTCTTCCTCCGTTTATTTATAGAAGTTGAGATTGACTCCCGGTGGGAATGGAGAGGGGGATTGCTTTTCACTCTTATTTTTAAAAAATTTATTTATTTATATTTTATGTGTGAATGCTCTGCATGTATACCTGTACACTAGAAGAGGGTGTCAGATCCTATTATAGATGGTTGTGAGCCACCTTGTGGTTGCTGGGAATTGAACTCAGGACCTCTGGAAGAGCAGCCAGTGCTCTTAACCTCTGAGCCATCTCTCCAGCCCTATTTTCCATTTTTTTTTTTTTTTTTTTTTTTGGTTTTTGGTTTTTGGAGACAGGGTTTCTCTGTGTAGCTTTGCACCTTTCCTGGAACTCACTTTGTAGACCAGGCTGGCCTCGAACTCACAGAGATTCGCCTGCCTCTGCCTCCCGAGTGCTGGGATTAAAGGCGTGTGCCACCACCGCCCGGCTATTTTTTATTTTGTTCTTTTAGTTTTGCTGGATCTTTAGACATATTTCTGTGGAGACTATGTAACAGAACAGCTCTTTTTTTTTGTTTTGTTTTGTTTTTTCTTTTTTTTTATTTATTTTTTTATTTATTTGTTATGTACACAGAAGTGTGTACCAGATCTCATTAGAGATGGTTGTGAGCCACCATATGGGTGCTGGGAATTGAACTCAGGACCTCTGGAAGAACAGTTGGTGCTCTTAACCTCTGAGCCATCTCTCCAGCCCTGTTTTTGTTTTTTCAAGACAGGGTTTCTCTGAGTAGTTTTTGGTGCCTGTCCTGGCTCTCGCTCTATATAGATCAGGCTGGCCTCGAACTCACAGAGATCCGCCTGCCTCTGCCTCCCGAGTGCTGGGGTTAAAGGCGTGCGCCATCACCGCCACTGTTCTTTATTTTATGTATATGTGTTTTGCCTACATGTGTGTTTATGCACCACATGTGTGTGGTGCTCTCTGAGGCCAGAGAGGGCATCAGATCTCCAGAACTGGAGTTACAGATGGCTGTGAGCTTTCACATAGGTGATGAGAATTGAGCTTGGGTCCTCTGGAAGAGCAGTAAGTACTCTTTTTTTTTTTTGACAGGGTTTCTCTGTGTAGCTTTGGCGCCTTTCCTGGAACTCACTCTGTAGCCCAGGCTGGCCTCAAACTCACAGAGATCCGCCTGGCTCTGCCTCCCAAGTACTCTTAACAGCTGAGCCATCTCTCCTTCCCTGGAGGCAGATTTTTGTCTACTGAGAAGTACATACTTTCATGTTTCTTTTAGGCATTGAGAACCTTCCCTGTGAACTTCAAAGGAACTTCCAGCTGATGCGAGAGCTCGACCAGAGAACAGAAGGTAGGTATAGCCTGAGCTGGGTTTTGACCATTGGTCAGAGAGAGAGTGAGTAAAGTACGTGGGGTATCAGAGAGTCTGAAGGGACCTTGTATAGCACAGGGTTTGCATCGTACAGTGTCTTGGGGGGAGTGATGGTACTTTGTTTTTTTGAGACAGGGTTTCTCTGTGTAGCCCTGGCCGTCCTGGAACTCACTCTGTGGACCAGACTGGGCTTGAACTCACAGATCTGTCTGCCTCTGCCTCCCAGGTGCTGGGGTTACAGATGGGTGCCACCGCCGCCCGCGTGCGTTTGTTTGTTTGTTTGTTTGTTGAGATAAGGTCTTGCTATATAGCCTTGGCTGGACTGTAACTGGCTGTGTAGACCAGCCTATCCCAGACTCATAGAGGTCCACCTCCTCTGCCTCCTGAATGCTGGGATTAAAGGTGTGCACCACCACGCCCATCTCAGGTATTATTTGTTTATTAATTTTGAGACAGCATCTTGTTCTGTGGCCTAGGGGAGTGCAGAGGTAGGGGAGAGTGCTGGTACTTTGAACTCAGCTATAGTTTCTTATTCTTTTTTACTCTGTGTGTGTACGTATATGATATGTGTGTATACATGTGTGGGGATATACACTTACCATGGCGTATGTGTAGGGGTCAGAGGACAGGACAGCCTTGGGTTCAGACCTTGCCCTCCACCTCCTTTGAGACAAGGTCTCTTTTCTGGTTCACTGCTGCATGTACCAGGCTAGCTGGAATTTCCCAGCCTCTGGCGCCCATCTCCCACTAAGTGCGCTGGAATTACAGATGCACGTGCTACCACACTTGGCTTTTGAGTGGGTTGAGGGGGATTTGGACTCGTCTTCTTTCACAGCGGTTTACCCACTAATAGGTAGCCGTTTCCCTAGCCTGTTTCCTGGCTCCCTGCACGGATTCTTGCCATAGCTTGTCAACTGTTGCCCTTTCCAGTTAGAATATCTGTTGCTTTTCTCCTTTAGAAATTTCCTTGTCTGCACTGTCTGTAAAAGTTGAGTATTCCTTATTCAAAGTGCTTTCGGCCAGCAGTATTTTGGATTTTTATGTTTTTCAGTTTTGGAGTGTTTACACCTATAATGAACTATCTTGGGTGGAGGTGCAACTCAGGTCTTAAACAAAAGATTTGTGTGTGGAAGGCGATTTTATATGCCACTGCTATCGAATTTTGTGTGTGAAATCGTTTGTTCTCAACTGCATGCTAACGACTGTCATCTGAAGTCCCACTTCTCGGTTAGAGCAGAGTTGTGTGTGTCTCTGCCGTCGGTGTTAATGGAAGCATGCAGGGTGTTTCTACATGTTTTGCTCTGTTGTTCACTGTCAGCATCATTGGATTCAACCATAGGGTTGTGAGTCACTTAGTTATTCCCTACGCTCTAGGTGGTATGTACGGATGGAGCATAGACCTTGCTTACTAGCCATTCTGTGGGTTGGATGTTTACATTGTGTCTTGCTTTTGGCTGCTGTGTGTGTTTTCCTATGTGTATTCTGGTACTTGTGTGCTTCTCCTCTGGGTATGTGACGAAGTTGTACACCAGGCGCTAGGCAAGATGACCACAAAGTTTACTGTTCAGGAGAGTCAGAGGGCAGTTTGACTTCTTGCTGGACAGTACTTGTGCTGGGTCTGTCCTGGGTAAGTTGCCGTACTAGAAAGTGCACGCTGACATGGCCAGCGAAGCTCCTGCCAGCATCCTGGAAGCACGGCACTCTACCTCCTGCTTCCACTTCTGCCCTGTCCCTGTTAGATAAGAAAGCAGAGATCGACATCCTGGCTGCAGAATACATTTCCACGGTGAAGACTCTGTCTTCAGAGCAGCGTGTGGCGCACCTGCAGAAGATCCAGAGCGCCTACAGCAAGTGCAAGGAGTACAGTGATGACAAGGTGCAGCTGGCCATGCAGACCTACGAGATGGTGAGCGAAGGGAAGGGCTCAGCATGCAGGCTCCCGCCCCTGCCTTCCAGGCCACAGAAGGACAAAGGTGTATGGAAACGTGTGTCCAGGGTGGGAGTTTGGAGCACCCAGAGAGAGGACACATTGGAGGTCTTCATCTGGGCCTGCTCCTACGGTTTTGTTTTTTTTTGGGGGGTCCTGTTTTTCTTGCTTGTTGGTGAAATCATTTTTTGTTTGTGTTTTCTTGGGGTGCTGGGGAGATCTAATCCAGGGCCTCGTGCATTCCAGGCAAATGCTGAGCCGCTGAGCTGCATCCAGCCTTTGTTTTTCTATGAAGTCACGTTTTCAAGTGTCCTTTTACAGGTGGACAAACACATCCGAAGGCTTGATGCTGACCTGGCGCGCTTTGAGGCTGACCTGAAGGACAGAATGGACGGAAGTGACTTTGAAAGCACTGGATCACGAAGCTTGAAAAGCAAGTTGACCGATGTTCTGTCTATTAATGATTGCAGTTTTAAAGGCTTTGATCTAAATGTGTCAGGCACATGTTGGTAAATGAATCCGGGTGACTCTTGCTCCACTTTGGTCTGTGCTGTGATAATAATGGGGGTCTTTGTCCTTCAGAAGGTCGGAGTCAGAAAGAAAAGAGAAGCTCCCGGGGCCGAGGCAGGAGGACATCAGAAGAGGACACTCCAAAGAAAAAGAAGCATAAAAGCGGGTAAGAGGTTTTCTGCCCCCTTTTCCCAATGGAACACCATCTTTCGAGCAACAGGGAGGATGTGCCTGGGGGAATCCCTCAGTACCAGCACCCTGGGGGAATCCCTCAGTACCAGTACCCCGGGGGAATCCCTCAGTACCAGTACCCCGGGGGAATCCCTCAGTACCAGCACCCCGGGGGAATCCCTCAGTACCAGCACCCCAGGGGAATCCCTCAGTACCAGCACCCTGGGGGAATCCCTCAGTACCAGTACCCCGGGACTTCACACATGCTGAGCCAGTCCAGGCACACAATGGTCCTTGGACAGTCTCTTCATATCCTGGGCTGTCAGAGTGACCAGGGGGGCTGCAGGAGTCGTCCGAGCGCCTTATGTGCAGGAGGCCAGACCCCTCCTCCGAAGTCATGCGTGTACCACCCTTGGTGTCAGGAGAACGCTGCGTACTTACTGACAGTGCTGTGCTGAAGCCCCTTTTTCAGTAGCTGAACTTACTGTTGATGATGGTTTTATACATTGCTGTGTGTTCCATACGTACTTGCTGTTAAACTATGTGACTGCATTTACACACGTCATTTATCTTGAAATCCTTCAAGATAGTCTCCCACTGTTGCTTCCCGCAGAGGCATTGTGCTGTTTCACTGAAGGGGTGTTTGGACTGAAGGGAACATGGTGGAGTCAGGTGACCCTGAGTGCTGGGGAAGGCTGGGGAAGCTGGTTCTCCTTGACAAAAGGGGGAAGGCTGGGGAAGCTCGGATCATCGAACCTCTTGGTGCATGGCCACTTGAGCTATCACTGAGCTGCACCCCAGTCCTCCCAGTGTGGCCGTGGCTTTTATTTTATTTATTTATTTATTTTTTGGTGTTTTGGAATAAGGTTCGATGAATGGCCCAGGCTGCCCTTGAACTAATGACCTTCCTTCCTCAGCCCTCCTAAGCACTGGAGTGCAGGCGAGTGCTGTCGTGGCTGGTTTATGCCGCCATTGGGGTCAGACCCAAGGCTCTGTGCATCCTAGGAAGGTACTCTGCCAACTGAAGTAGGTCCCAGCCCATCTTTACCTCTCTCTCTTTCCTCGTTGTCGTTTAACTTTTTGACTACAGGGGCTTGCTAATTTTGGCTCGTGGGGTGGCAGCAGGATGTCTCTGCCCCTTCCTTCCCCGAAACCCAGAGGCTGTGCTTCTGCGTTTGCACAGACAATTTGGATGACTACAGTGCCTCGCTAATTAGCACAGCCACAAGAGCATGAGTTCACATGAGTCTGTGGCATTCTTGTACTTCTTGCTCATAGTGTCTGGACCGGGCCTTCTTGAACTTGTCTACTTGTGACACACAGAAATATAAAACACACAGAAAAATTGGGTATATAAGAGGGCTGATAATACATCATACAGAAATTTATTTTAAAGCAGTTCTTTGACATACATAAAATATATACATATATAATATATAATATATATTAATGTTTTTGTTTCTACATAAAGAATTGTCTTTGGTTGATATTTGGTACTGGAGGATATAGAACATCCTCATTGCTTCTCAGTTTTTTGCGGGCCGCAGGAATATATCATAGAGATTCAGCTGTGTATTAAAGCTGAACTTTGACCGGCCAAGGGTCTGTCAAAAGGCAAAGCCATTTATTATGATTATTTGGTGTTACCCAGCCTTTAATATTTCAGCTGTCTTCTGCTATGAAATCCTTGAGTGCCCAGACCAATTGGTAAAAATGTTCAGCTCTCTAGACCTGTTGAACCTAAGTTACTAACTGCCCTGCTGAGTTTAGGAGACAAGCTGGCGGGAGACGCCTGGCTTTGTTTCCTGTGCTAATGAAGCTCAGACCATCCCCTGGCCTTGAGGAGGCCTAGTGGTTCTCCTGAGCTCTTTAACTGAGAACAAAAGAGGTTTTTGCCTATCAATTTAAGAGATAAAACAACATTCCTGAGGAGGCAGGGAACCACGAGCCCAGGGAAAGAAAAGGTAGGTATTTTCTGTAGAAGGGAAGAACAGGATGGAGAAGAGAAAAGGTTATGAGAGAACTAGATGGGTAAGAACTTGAGAGGAACAAACTGAGATGGGGAAGAACTAGATTGAAGGGCTAGAAGAACGTACTAGAGGGACGAGATGGAAGATGAGGAAGAGTCAGATGGGGAAGTCCTAGCTGGGTAAGAACAAGATGAAAAGGACCTAGAAGAGGCAGAGTTAAGACGAGAGAATTAAGATAGAACTTAGAGGGAACAGTAGATAAACAGAGAGAAATCAGGCAAGAAAGGAGCTAGGCACGAGAACAGAACTGAAGCTGTGTAAATAGGATGTTATGCCAGAGGAATTAAAGCAAGTGGACTATAGAGCTTGGTGTGCTGAGATTCTATTTCCTGAAAATAGTCCTCGCCGTTAGTAGTTCTCTCTCCTGAGCCCCTGGGATGTATAATATTAAGGCTGGTCCCTCTAATATTATACCAGAAGAGTTGATTGGTATTTTGATGACTATGGTTCGGTTATTGAATATTCTGAAACCTTATACTGTTGTCAGATTTTCTGAGACACCTCTCACCCCCCCACATTCAGTAGTTTAGGGTTCGTGACCCACAGTTTAAGAAGCTGAGGTCTAAACAGTGCTGCTAAGTAGAATTCCGGTTGTGATCTTAGGGATTGTCTCATGTGCAGTGAGGCTGAATCTGTGTGGATCTGACTTCCACCAGTGGACCATGCTGTCTGTGCAGCTATGGTTACAGGTGTCTGCTCACTGTAGGAGAGGATCAGACTGTAGATTAGCAACTTGTATCGATATCACAGATGGTAGTTGTCAGTTCTGGAGCACCCATTTGAATTGATTCCCTTTTTAAAAATACAAATTTGAAGCTGGGCAGTGGTGGCGTATGCCTTTAATCCCAGCACTCGGGAGGCAGAGGCAGGCGGATCTTTGTGAGTTTGAGGCCAGCCTGGTCTACAGAGTGAGATCCAGGAAAGGCGCAAAGCTACATAGAGAAACCCTGTCTCGAAATCCCCCCACCCCCCAAAAAATACCAATTTGACTCCTTTTTTGGAAAATGATCCATATTTCTATCCGTTTACTCATAATCTCATAATTCTTTTAACTTTTTTTTTTTTTTTTTATGAGATAAGGTCTTACTCTTTGGCCAAAAAGCAGTGGACCAGCCAGGCAGTGGTGGCACATGCTTTTAATCCCAGCACTTGGGAGCCAGAGACAGGTAGATCTCTGTGAGTTCAAGGCCAGCCTGGTCTACAGCGCGAGTTCCAGGATAGCTCCAAAGTGACACAGAGAAACCCTGTCTCAAACAACAACAACAACAACAACAACAAAACGCCAGCAATGTACCCTGAATTCCAGCATCCCAAGTGCTGAGTATTAACTTACTTATGATAGCTATTTAAAGTTCTTTTGTGTCAACCATAACATCTCGAAAGACTGTATCTGTTCTGTAAGTCAGCTTTATACTGCCCACTGCTTCTGGCTTGAGGAGAGACTGGCTGTGGAAATAAGCCCTGGTCTCACAGACTCTAGAGCTGAGGGACTTGTCACTCTGCCTTTGTTGACATATGGCTCATTCTGTTCTCATATTCAGCGCATAGCCTGGGTGTACGTGGCTACCACATGTAGGTCCTAAAGTGTTATGTTGATAGCTAGGCCACCCTTCCTGCCAAATCTAGCAGATGGACAGCACCTCTCCTGCTACAAATCACCCAGCTCTATCACTCCAGGGTCTTGCTGCCTGTAAGGGGCTTTTGAGCTTTGCATGTCTGACTCGTGGGATGGCAGCATGATGTCTGCTCCTTCCTTCTCCAAAACCCAGAGGCCGTGCTTTGGGGTTTGCACAGACGTTCTTGCTGGTGTCTTCTTCACTGAGTGTTTCACATAGTGTCCTCAGCATGAGGAGCCCAGTACAGGGATCTCGATGGGGGTGGGGGGGGGGAGCCAGCACCCACTGGCTGTAGCGTCCCCCTAAGGCCTCGGGGGTGTGAGACAGGCATTGTAACTGCTCCTAAAAACTCACAAATGAGGCAGGCTGTTCAGTTTCTTCCCTGACGGGAGCCATCATGTTACGTCTGATGCTTAAGAGTCAGTCACTGCTTTCTGACTTGCGTGCTGGGCTCGCTGCGGTGGTGGCTGTGGCAGTGGTGGCTGGGTGGTGGCAGTGGGTGGTGGTGGCAGTGGGTGGCTGTGGCAGTGGTGGCTGGGTGGTGGCAGTGGGTGGTGGTGGTAGCAGTGGGGCAGTGGCAGTGGTAGCGCACCTGTTCTGTATTGACTCGGTGTTGGTGCGTTTCCTCTCTGGCCCCTGAATGGCAGTGCAGCCACGGTTCTGATTTGCACATGTTCAGACGGGGAGAGACTGCTGGAAGAAGGGGTGTGCTCGGGCCTTGACATCTGGTGCACAGATCGACTTCCACAGAGTAGGCATCCAGAGATAGCCCAAGGCCCTGAAGTTCTGGGTTTGCTGTATCAGGATGGGCACTTGGTGTGGCTTCAGGACCTGAAGCTTGCACAGACGCCTGCCTGTTTCTGTCTGGAGTTCCTGCACAGTCTTTGTCCCTAGCCTGTGGTTTTCTTCGTGACCTAGATGAGATGGACTAAATGTTTCAGTTATAGCTTGGTGGTGACCATCATTTTCCATAGGGGACTTGGAGCAGTGCTCTGTCAGGTTCCTGTGGCTCAGTGGCCACTTGACCAGAGGATGGATATCAAGGAGAGGTACTTTCCTAAAACTGCCAGACCCCATCTGTTTCCCATGTAAAGTCCTATAAGCTAAGGTCAATGTTCAGTTCCTTGGCTGCCCCAGGGCCTGGTTTTCTGGCACACCAAGGCATGCCTGTGGGACTGAAGGGGTCATTTTCTTCTGCAGTACTTATCCTGAAGTTTGGGTAAGCAGCTAAGTCCCTTGTTACTTGGATTATTAGGGAAGCCCATGGGCAGTCATGTCTGGAGGGAGCTTCCCTGGATACATCTGGGGAGGGGAGCTTACCTAGCCAAAGGCCAGAGCAAGTCAACATGCCCAGGGGACAGAGACTGCCTGTGGGGTACTGCTAACTAGGTGCTCTTCTCGACCTCTTCTACTCTCCTGTGTTTTGTTTTCTATTTCAGAGACAAGGTCCTAATATGTACAAGCTGGCCTTGAACTTCCTTTATAGTTCAGGCTATAAAGGCTTTGAATTCAGGATCCTCCTGCCTCAACTTTCTAGGTGCTGCATTAAAGATGGGTGTCCCCATGCCTGACTGACTGAACCTGGGGATTCTGAGCTGCAGGTCACATGATAGCTGAATGGCTGGCTGTGACTTCCTATGAGAGCTGAATGGTGGAGCTTCCTATGGGAAAGTTCCATATAGCTGATAGAATTGAGCAGCAGAGGCAGGCATACTTCTGGGCTTGGTTTACTGTCTCAGAGGGGACTGCATGGTGTCCATTGACAGTAGGCCACACAGAGACCATGGAGGCCAAGATGCCAGGCATAGTTTCCTACTTGAACCTCTTGGGAGTTGCTTGAAAGCAGTATTGTAGAGCACTTGGACTCACATGTTTGTGTGACATTTCTGCGAAAGCATGGCTTACCTGCTTAGAAGAGGCTCCAGTTCCAGAGCCTCCAAGGTGCTGGACTAGAATGTAGTTTACACACCGACCTGTATATGCAGCAACTATAATGGCCTGGAATGGAAACACTTAGGAATTCAGAGGCTAGGAGCCCAGGCTTCTTCTGCAGACATAGTCCTCCTGGGAACTGGCCATATTTATTTATCACTCTACATTCCTAGTTTAGGGGTGGGTAGGGATAGTGGTGTTACAGGTTGTAACACCAATCATAATTGGTCCCGGAGCCAGATATCGGGGTAAATGCTGAAAGATCAGTAAAGGAGCCAGCTACTAGAGAGACTCTTTTTTATTTTTTAAGATAGGGTTCCTCGGCATGGCCTTGGCTGTCCTGGAATTATCTCTGTAGACCAGGCTGGCCTTGAACTCATAGAGATCTGCCTGCCTTTGCTGGGGTGAAGGGCGTGTGCCACCACCGCCCAGTTAGAGATACTTCTTACCTCCAGGACTTCTCCACCCAGCCATGTTATTTCCTGTTTCCACCCCCCCAGTACTGGGATTAAAGGCGTGAGATCCCAAGAGCTGGGATCAAAGGTGTGTGCCACCACTGCCTGGCCTCTATGGTCACCTAGTGGCTAGCTCTGCCCTCTGATCTTCAGGCAAGCTTTATTTGTTAAAGCACAAACAAGATCACAGCAGGTATAGGGATTGTACCATCTAGATTGCCCTATAGTTGACATGATTATTTGAAAAATATATGTAAAGAGTAAGTTCAATGTCCTGCTCTACAGTGAAGGGTGGGGCTGGGCTTTGTAGGCAGCAGTTGTAGGGGGAGTCTGAAGGGGTAGGATTCTTGCTAGGTTGCTTTCAGAGACCTAGAGGCGGTTTTGGATGGATATTAGGAAGTGAGCAGGATAGTGTGTACCATGGTGGGCAGATGGGTAAGGTTACTCGGTTGATACCTGGAACCCAAAGGAGGCTAAGAGGGGCTGCAAGTATATGGTTTGGGGTGAGTGTTCCTGGGTAGTTGTAGAGGATACACTGTCTCTTTTCAAGGGAGGAGTATGAGAGTCTGTGGGAGCCCAGCTCCGACCCGCTCCCACCTATCGAAGGGTTCCTGGGTGGAGGAGAGAGGAGTGAGGAAATACTAGGTAGAAAGATAGACCTAGATGACAAGGAGTAAGACAGAGACCCAGGATAGCTTCAGGAGGGCCCTGGGTCAATACCTAGCTGCCCAGAGCTTTATTCAAAAGGGCTTTTTATAATATGCCAAGGGGAGAGGCAAAAGACCTCCCCCTTGCAAGATCAAAGCACACTATACAGCCAAGTGTAGACCCTTCCAAATACTTGGTAACCACACCCCTTTATGCAGCCCTGATGGGTAAAGCAAGCTCAGATTCTCTGACGCTGAGTAAGATCTCACTAGATAGCCTCTGTGGGCCTCCATAGAGGAGAGGATATCCATTGGTTATGGCAGAACTGGTGAGTGCCTCAACCGTTAGGTCAGCCTTGGGTGAGACACAGATGGACTCTTCTCAGATGTTAGCTATCTACTGGCAGGGGGGTCATGTTCTTGTCCCTACCAGGAGGTGGCAGCCAACACAGAAGGGAGGCCCAGAGAAAGCAGCAGCTTTATCTTGTTGGAGTGGATATTTGTCCCCAGTAGACAGCAATGGCTGGTGTTGGATTTAGTTGCTGGTGAGTGCTATTAGCAGTCTCACACCCCGCTGCCTGCCTCTGGGGCCTCTGCTGGTATGAGAGTAGCGTGATTTCTGTTTGCCGTCTGTTGCTGCCCCTAGGTTTGTGGCTGGTAATAGTCCAAGGGAATCTCTTCACCTGATAATTAGCACACCATATCATTCTCACTATAAATTCTTAGGAGCGATTTGGCTGGAAGGTTTTAAGGTTATCCTTGAGAATGTATTTCTGTGACAGGTATTAGGACTGTTCCCAGGTTCCGTTGACAAGAAAATCAGAAGCAGGTTTATGAGTAATGGATCATTAGTTCTGAGTCATTATGGACTCTTTCCTTGGAACCTCGAGCATCTCTGGTTCCTGTGTAGAGGAGCCCTGGGCCATTGGTGGAAGGGCTGCAATCTGGCCGCCCGCGTCTCCTGCCTTCCTCCTGTTGCCCTGATCAGCGGATCCTTTCTCTCCCCTCAGGTCCGAGTTTACTGACAGCATCCTGTCTGTGCACCCCTCTGATGTGCTGGACATGCCTGTGGATCCGAATGAGCCTACATACTGCCTGTGCCACCAGGTGTCCTACGGAGAGATGATCGGCTGTGACAATCCAGATGTGAGTGGATCCTAAAGGGTGCATGTCCCCGGGACAAACGGTGTAGAGACGGGTGGGTGTTAGCCTTTCTGTGTCTAACATACAGAGTGCACGGGTGTGACGCGGGCTTTCCCCTTGCTTTGCAGTGCCCAATTGAGTGGTTTCACTTTGCCTGCGTGGATCTCACCACAAAGCCCAAAGGAAAGTGGTTAGTATGGGGGTGACTGCAGTCTTGGGCAAGCCTGTCTGGCTGGTGCTCTGGGTCCTGTTGTGCGTCTCCATATTTCTGCAGCGTTGGTCCTGGCTTGGGAGGCGGGTGTGTGTGTGTGTGTGTGTGTGTGTGTGTGTGTGTGTGTGTGTGTGGCACACTTACAGAGGGAGATCTGCTGCTCAGCTTACCTGGGTGTATATAGTATTCACACTACCGCCCTTTGAGGAAGGGCTCCCTGCCTCCACCCCAGTGTGCATCCAGTATGTCAGGACAGTGCCGTGCCCCTGAACTGTGTCCCTTTGCCCTCTGGCTCCATGTTGGGTAGACGGTATTTTAAGTGAGGACAGAAGAGCAGGTTATTGTCTTCAGGGGAAAAATGGGAATTATGAAGAACTCAAGAAGTAGCTGTAGAACCTGTGTGCTCCCTTCCAGGGGGCTCCATCTAACAGAGCATAGGAGGCCTGTGTATTCTTGTTTCCATCCTACCTCTGGTAACACCTACTGTGCATGGCTCCTTACCTCATGTTACAAGAACCGTATGGCAGGTGCCTTGGCTATGCCTGTGCCTTGTGGGAGTGGGCTGGGCTGCCCTGGCAGTGGGCGTGTGAGAGCAGGTATGTGGCTAGACTGTGATGGATGGTGTGTACTCTGCTGAGGCAAGGGAAAAAAGCAGGCTTACGTGAGACCGTGGAATCTGACTTCCAGTTCAAGTTGGACGTGGTGCTGTTTGCAGGATTCCCAGGTGGGGAGTCTGGCAGCTCTGGCCAAGCTGTTGTGGTGTTACATCAACCTTAGAGAGTCTATAAGCCTGGCAGCTGCCCAATGTGCTAGGCCCAAAGCCAGACAGAAGAACTAGGGAGTGGGGTTCTTCCTGTAGGTTACCACAATGGGCTTCCTCAAAGGGACGCACAGCTTCTAACTGACCTGGTCACTGTGGCACACACAGGTTGGCGCTCCGAGGGAAAGTGACGTCAGCTGTAACGTGTCAGAGAGCTGTCTGCCACATGGAAACCTCCCTAGAATGTCCCTTTGGATCATGAGTGGTTGCTCTGTTCTCGAGTGTCCATGAACATTGCCTGAGGCTCTGATAGGTGCTTGACCCACTGCACTGGGACCTGTGTGACCCATACAGGCTCCAGCGCCCAGTGCAGTGTGGTGTCCACAGGCTTCTCAGGCCCATGTCTGCATGTAGGATCTTCAGCATGTCCAGTCTGCCAGCCAGCCTTTGGTGCCACCTCCATAGTGGGCACCTCATATTACGACTAGCCTTATCAACCTGATCACCAGGCTGTGCTGGTACATATTGGTCAACTTCCGATATGCACAAGTTAGCGTTTCAGACACCAGCTTTCCTCATGAAAGACTGCCACTCACCTGGTGTAGCTGTCCTCTGGCACTGTCTCACCAGAGTCCAGCTACCCTGGGGGATGTAGAAAGTATATCCTTGGGTGTCCTGTGTGCCAGGAGAAACGATGCCAAAGGTTGCTCCCTGTGTCTTTCTCGTGACAGGTTCTGTCCACGATGTGTACAGGAAAAGAGGAAGAAGAAGTAACGGAGAGGCTGTGCCAGACTGCAGAGCAAGCTAATATATTTCTTCACTCATGTTGCAATATTATCTTTCATTTTAAAACTACCTTATTTCAACTGATATTTAATAATTCAGTGGCCAGTTATGATTTTGGATGTTTCCCAAATTAAGAGGCCACTGCACCGTTTGCACAGAACAGTCTCGCAGGGACTCGCCACAGTGACTTCACATGCAGGCTCCCCACCCCTGCATCCTCCCAGCACTGAGAATTTCGGAAACATTGCCTGTGGTGAGTGTCAGTCTGGGCTGTGGGCAAAGTGCTGCGTGGTGCAGGGTGGATACATTTTAACCTGGTGTCCTGCGCTGTTTGGGGACTAGAGGGTCAGCCTTGAGGGTCCGTGTTTTCCTGGACTGTCTTGCGGCACACTGGAAGCACAGCTGTGGCTCTGTGAGCAAAGTATTGTCAGGCGCTGTCCCATGCTGTGCTCTGACCCTGACCGAAGACCAGGGACTCCTGGCCAACATACCTCTGATGTGTCTGGAAGGGACTGGGGCTCTTCCCTGGTGGAAGCGCCCTCTGTTTCATCGTGCACCACCTTTTCAGTGGAAACCTCCAGCCCTCCCTGGAGAGTAAGCTTCCATTAGCCTCGGACTGTCAGTTATCACAACCAGCACCGCCCATCTGTGGATAAACAGCCAGGCTGAGCTTCCACCTCTCTGGGAATTCCTAACTTTTTTTTTTTAACTGTGAAGATGAAATTATTGTAATAGCATGAAGGTCATGGGTCTGTGTGTCTATGAAGTGAGTCTGTCTACTGTGAGCTAATTTTAGAACTCTGCTATGTTGCATCCCACTAGACCAGCAGCTTACATTCAAGGGGACTACAATTATGTGACATGATTTGTGAATTTGTATGCCCAATAGCAGTTCTGGAATGAAGGTAGGGAACTAGAGTGTACTCTTCGTTTAACCAGTGTCCACAAAACCAGTGTTGAACTGTCCTTTGGAAATAGTTGGGGGTGGGGGGTGTATACACAGGGCCTGTGGAGACGCATCTGGGGTGGCTCCTTACTTGTGACAGGATCCTGAGAGCTTCCTTTGACTTAGAATTCCTCTGGCATGTTTTCCAGTGTCTCACTCAGGCCTTGAGAAGTAAGAGCCAGTCCCTGGCCTCACTCCAGAAAAAGACCCACAAGACAGAGCTGGGTTATGCAGTTTCCCGTGTAAGGAGAGGCCGGCTTTTTATCTGACGACAGGTGCATTGTTTTAAGATGGTCATGTCTAAATCGAGAGATTTCCATCCAGGGAATGGAAACAAGGCAAGAAGGAGCTGTATCTGCCCCACATCATACCAGCACGGTCATGTTCTACTGGACAGGGCGTCCTGCACAGCCTGTCCCAGCCAGAGAGGGAGACAGGAATGGTTTGTGTTTGTGCTACTGAGTAAGTTGGTCCATGTAGACCCTTCCTAGGCAGCAGGTGCCAGGCAGGTGGCAGCAGCTGCTAGGCAACTGTCCAAGCTTGTCTCTAGGCTAGGAAGAGCTTTGGAAATTTGGTTCCTGTGGCTTGAGGGGCTAGTTTTCTTCTTGGGGACCCCCTCTCAAACTCAGATTAGATAGACATTTTCATTTCTTTTTGTTGTTTTTTGGTTTTGATTTTATTATTTTTTTCTTTGTTTTGTTTTATTTTTGTTTTGTTTTTGATTTTTCCAGGCAGGGTTTCTCTATGTAGTCCTGGCTGTCCTGGAACTAGTTCTGTAGACCAGGCTGGCCTTGAACTCAGAGATTCACCTGCTTCTGCCTCCTGAGTGCTCAGATTAAAGAGATGCATGTGCCGCCACCACAGGTTAGACATTTTCATTTCTTAACTTAGACTTTTGTTGTACTAAAGGTTGTGAGGATAAGTTACAGAAATTTTTTTTCCTTTTCTCTTTTTATTTTAAAGACTGGGTATTATGTATCCTAGGCTAGCTTTGAACTCACAATGTAGCTGAAGATAACTGATCTTTTGATCTTCCTTCCTATACCTCCCAAATGCTAAGGTTATAGGTGTTCACCAAGAGGTCTGGTTTTGCAGTGTTAGGGACCAAACCCAGAACTTTTTTTTTTTTTTCCCCAGGCTGGCCTCAAACTCACAGAGATCTGCCTGCCTCTGCCTCTCCAGTGCTGGGATTAAAGGTGTGCGCCACCACAGTCTGTTAAAGGTGTGCACTACTACCCAGCTCCAACTCAGAGCTTTGCATGCTAGGCAAGCATTCTGCAAATTGAGTTCCATCCCCAGCCCTTTTTCTTCATTCTTTTATCTTTTTTATTTTTTTCTTTATTCAGTCCTAGGGGTCAGGCCTCGTACATCCTTTAATTTTATTTTATTTATTTATTTATTTGGAGGCGGGGCCTAATTATGTAGCCCAGATTGGCTTTGAACTAGTAATCATCTTGCCTTAGCCATGAGATGTTGGGATTACGGGTGGATGCCCCCTGTAATGTCTGGCCCTCTTATCATTTCTGGGAGCACAAGAAATTTAAATTATATCTTGTCTTGGAAGCTGATTTAATACCTGAGATTCAGCCTGAGGCAGAGGAGTATTTCCTGGTGGAGGCACTAGAGGCTACTTAAACTCCATCTTCGGGCTTCCTGAGGTCATGCTGGTTTCTCCTCTGACTTCCACCTGCGGCCATCCTGTGTACTGGCTTCGGACTTTTATTTATTTTGCAAATTTCTATGATTATCTGCTTTTTTTTTTTAAAATTTACTCTTGACAGTTATAATAATGTCACCAAAATAAGATTCATATAGCTTGGAAACAACAGAATTCATGGTTTGGGGATTTAACTCTGTGGTGGAATAACTTGCCTACCAGTGTGAAGCTCAGTGTGGTATTGGTTGTATGGTGGTGAGCAAAGCTGCCTTCCAAAAATGATGGTCTAGGTTTGATCCTTGACAATGAAACAGAAAAAAGAAGCAGGAAGCAAAATCCTTTGGGTCATTGTCGGTACTCCAATGGAGTGTTTGTTCCATTGTTACTGTCTGAGCAAGGAGGATATTCAAAGAAAAGTGTACCCCCAGCTCTGGCTAGGGTGCTGCAGAAACACAGAAGCATGCTGCTGCGCCACTGAGCACCATCCCAGCAGCCCCAGCTGTCTCCATCCTTGGACCAGATATTCTTTCATGCCTGCCCATCTAGGCCTGGCGCTTGAGCTATCCCTGCCTCTTAGACAGAGTGGGTAGGGTGACCCCCACAGGTCACCTTGGCAGCCAAGGCTGGGTCTTCCTTCTGTCATTCCCCTTCCTTATAAGTACATAAGTGTTTTGCTAAGAGGAGAGGAATCATCTTCCTTATTTTCTGTGCATATTATCAATAGTTTGAATTTCTCCAGTTTCTTATAGGAGAAGCATGATGAATTAATAAAAAAAACTGAGCCCCAAGATCTGTGAACATGCTAGTGGTGTGATGGTCCGAGCAGTACTGACCATTCGCCAGTCCAGCGGGTGAGGTTGGTAAGAGTCAGGCCGCCGGCTGTGTCTTCCACTCCACAGTGAAGAGCCGTGTGGTGTGAGGGCTTGTGGATGGCTGGGGAAGTGGCCGCCTGTTTGCTCCTGTGTACACACACAGCATCTTGTCTTCTGCCCTCACCTGTCCCCAGAAGGCCTTGGCAGGGATGCTTCAAGCAATAACACTGTCCAGAGATCAACTCCTCCATGTGATATGGTGCCAGGGTTGGCCCTGTTATGAGGCTGGGAGGTTAGGTCTTCAGGGTTTGAGATCGAACAGTGAGGGACATTTATTTGAGGCTTTTGAAACCCTGTTTTCTATGAGCAGAGGCTGGTCTTCCTGCCTATGTTGAGAGGAGCTTCAAAGCAGGGGAGGTCTAAGGAGCGTCTTTTCCCTCAGAATGTGCTGTGGTGTTCGTTCACCACACTCCATCCATCAGGATGATGCAGCTTTAACATGAATGTCACATTTTATTTTCAAGGAATTATTACCTATGTCCCCTTTGTAAAGGAGAGATACTATTGTAAATCTTTTTATTAAATAATGTAAAGATGTATATCTGTATTTTTGGATCATGGATTATGGATATATTGTTTAATAAATAAAAGTATTTTTGGGAAGAAACATTTGAAAGTTTCTTAAATCATTTTGAAAACAGGCATGTAGCATCCCTGTGCTGTGCCAGAGGTGAGTGTTCATTTACTCAGTCAAGGTTGCCACTGAAGGACTTTGTGGACCTAGGATCCTGAACTTGGCTTTGGTTGGGCCCTCAGGGAGGTCAGTGGCCAGAGCTGGGTTTCCACACTTGCGTGGAAGACGTGTGCATGAATGGGAATGCTAGAGTCTATTCTATAAAGTCTCACTGAGGGGCCGGGCTGTCTCCGTCTCTCTGTAGAACACTTGCCTGATGTGTGCTACGCCTCCCCTGGAGCGGGAACCTAGACCTGGGGCATTCTTGGGATTGTCGGCATCCATTTGAGAACTGCCCTAGTCTGGTGGGGCAGTTTCTACACACATACACAAAGACCCCAGACTGGGTGCTTAACAAAACTTACTCCCCACAGTTCTGGAGATTGAAATCAGGGTTGATGTCTGCTGAGGGCTTTCCTTGGGTTGCAGGCAGCTGGCTTCCCACTACACTTACATGGCGAGGTGAATGGGGCTAGGTAGGAAGGGAGTTCTCTAGCATCGCTTCTAATTTCTTACTTATTTTTGAGACAGGGTCTCACTATGTAGCTCTGGCTGTACTGGAAATCCGTGGACCAGGCTGGGCTTGAACTCACAAGAGATCTACCTGCCTCTACCTCCCAAGTGCTGGGATTACTGCACTGCCAGGTATGGTGGCACATGCCCATAATCCCAGCACTTGGGAGTTCAGGCAGGTTGATCTCTCTGAGCTTGAGGTAGCCTGGTCTTTATAGCTAATTCTAGACCAACCTGGCCTACATAGTGACATACAGGACCTTGAGCATACTAGGCCAGTGCTCTACCCACTGAACTACGTCCTCAGTCCATAGTGTTGCTATATAACAAGTCCTGCAGGTCTCAACCCTAAGTCCCTCTTAGCCTTAATTACATGCATGTAGGCGCTGTTCCCAGTCACATTAAGGATTAGGGCTTCCACATAGGACTCGGCTAATATATACATTACTGAGTTGACTTAGACATTCCCTTGGACAGTGCTGAGTTTCTAGACACTGGTCAGCACGAGGACCAGCCTTTCACCCATCATGGGAAACATTTTGTCAGGGGCTGTGGTTTTGGGGGAAAGGCCCTGTGGCAACATGTTATATGGTCCGTGTATACTCTATGGTATATCTGCAGTCATTTCCCAGCGTGACTGTTAATGGTTAAGGGAAAGTCCACTTCTTTGGGTGGTGAATAGGTGAGTGACTGACTGTCGATTTATATTTTGACTTTTCGCTGATTTATTTATTTGTTTGTTTGTTTTTCAAGACAGGGTTTCTCTGTGTAGCCTTGGCTGTCCTGGAACTCACTCTGTAGACCAGGCTGGGCTAGAATTTCACAGAGATCCGCCTGCCTGCCTCTGCCTCCTGAGTGCTAGGTGTGCACATATTTTCTTTCTTGAGAGAGTTTCTTTGTGTAGCTTTGGAGCCTGTTCTAGATCTCGCTCTGTAGACCAGGCTGGGCTTGAACTTACAGAGATCAGCCTGGCTCTGCCTCCCTAGTGCCACCGCCCGGCCCTGACACATTTTCTTAAAGATTTATTTATTTTTATTTTACATATTTTTATTTTGCATGTGTGAGTGTTATGCCTACATGTATGTCCACGTATGCTGGGACATCTGCGTGGAGTCGGATTCTGATCAAAGCAGAACGGTCTCCACAGGAGCTCACTGCCAGGGCACTGGGAGGGTGGAGTCAGGGCGGAAGGGCGGGGTCGGGGAGGGAGGGCCGACACACATGCGCAGTCGCTCGCTCCACCCCCTCTGGTCGAGGCCTACGGTGGTGCGGGGGTGGGGACCTGGGTGCGGGAGAGGACGCATTTTTCTTGCAGTCAGTCGGACGCTAGGGTGCGTAGTGGGTCGGCTGCAGTTCCAGGGCGGTGGGCGTTGGTGTCCGGGTCTATGCAGCCCGGGACTGGCCTGTCAAGTGATTGCACAGGTCGGGAGTGAGCCCATGTGCAGCGTTTCCACCCCCAACACTCCCAGGTCGTGGTGGCTGGAAATGCAAATGGCTTGTCCTCCCGGACGTCACAGCACATGACGCATGCGCTTGCTTCCCGCATGCTGAGGTGTGTTTTTTCCGTCTCAGGTAAGGCGGAAGCAGCAGCCAAGTAGAACCTTCAGTTGGAAGGTGGCAGCTTGTGGATAGCGACCTGTGTGAGCTGCCTTTACCCTAGCCGGTATGCACTGTCGCAGTTCATTTCCCTTCTCTCCAGGACATTTTTGTTCATTACCCAGGCTTTTTAAAACGTGTGGCAAAGTAGACGTAGAATGTGAAATTTGCCTTTCAACTCGTTTGGGTTCATGATTCCGTGATATCTTCCCTTTCGGTGCCTTAAAACCTAGTTTTGTTTTAAAGGGGAAGGGCCTGGAAAAGCGATTGCTGTTTGCAAACGTTAAAATACAACGCCCGAGAGAGAATGCACCACCACCAAGTATACTCTCAGTGAATTCACTGGACAGTTATACTGGGCCAGTCATTCAGAACCGAACCCTTCTATGTATCTCATCCTCTGTGTCCTGCAGCTTGATACTCCTTACCCTCATCTTTCTAGGGCCAAGCCACCCTCTTCCTCTACCTTAGTGGCTCTCAACCTTCCTCATGCTGCGACCCTTTAATACAGTTCCTCATGCTGTGGTGACCCCCCAACCATAAAATTATTTCGTTGCTACTTCATAACTGTAGTTTTGCTACTGTTAGGAATTGTAGTGTAAATCCTGATATGCAGGATATCTGATACGTGACCCCAAAGAGGTCGTGACCTGCATGTTGAGAACTGCTGCTCTATAGGCAATGTGTATGTGACTTCAGATGTGGCAGGGAGGCCATTGTGGGGCTTTCCCATTACTTCATTGCTCATGAGTTGCAAGTTCAATTTATTTACTTGTTTGTTTGTTTATTAAGGCAGGAGCAATGGTGCTCCATTTGGTGCCCAGATGTTCTGCAAGGCTCTTCTGGGCGTCTCCAGGATGGAGGAGGACATACACTCAGGGAGCCTCAGTGGGGCTGAAGTGGCTGGGTTGCCCTCGGGATACATACAGACCCTTGGCTTGCAGAGGGTACTCCTCGGTCTCTGGCAGCCCTGAGGTGATGCTAACCCCTGAGCGATACCCTGTGCAAAGGCTGCCGTTTTCTACCGTGTCCGAGGAGGACCTGGCTGCCTTCGAACGCATCACACCCGGCAGAGTTATCACAGATCCAGAGCAACTGGAAGCATGCAATGTGGACTGGCTGCGGGCCCTCCGGGGTGAGTCAGGACCTGGGCAGTGGAGTAAAAGATCGAAGGGCAGAGACCAGGAAGAGAGTGTGGGTGGGGGAGTAGAGTTCACTGTGAGTATGCCTTCAGTGCCTTGGAAGACACTGCCGAGGTCTTCAGAGAGTCAGATGGGCAGATTGAAAAGCGAAGCCGTCTGCGGCTGGAGTGAGTGAGGGCTTGAGACACTACTGCCTTCATCTGCACAGCTTCTTAGGCAGTTTTCACCAAAGGCATCCCTCTCAGTTCCAGAGGCCCAGGGTCCAAAATCAGGTGTGTTCTCTGCAGCCTCTGGGGGAGGGTCCTTCTGTCTCTCTGAGCTTCTGGTGACCCCAGGTGTTCCTGGGAGCATCCCTCTGGCTTCTGCTTCTGTATTTATCTTGCCTCAATCCTTTGTCCTCTTCTGTTTTTTAAAAAACATTTATTAGCTGGGCGGTGGTGGCTCACACCTTTTTTTTTTTTTTTTTTAAGATTTTTATTTACTTATTATGTATACAGTGTTCTGCCTGCATTCCGGAAGAGGGCGTCAGATCTCATTACAGATGAGCCATCCTGTGGTTGCTGGGAATTGAACTCAGGACCTCTGGAAGAACAGCCAGTGCTCTTAACCACTGAGATATCTCTCCAGCCCGGCTCACACCTTTAATCCCAGCATAGAGGCAGAGGCAGGTGGATCTTGGAGTTCAAGGCCAGCCTGGTCTACAGAGTGAGTTCTGGGAGAGCAGGGCTACACAGAGAAACGCTGTCCAGGTGTGGGTTCTGGGAACCAAATTCTAGTTTTCTGTACTGTTCTTAACTCCTCAGCCATCTCCAGCACTCAACGTTCGATCTTAATTATCCTGTCAAGAGCCTATTTCTGTATTGGACTGGAGAGATGGCTCAGCAGTTAAGAGCACTGGCTGCTCTTGAGAGGACTGGGGTTCAATTTTCAGCACCCACATGGCAGCTTACAACGGTCTGTAACTCCAGTTGCAGAGGATCTGACACCTTCACATAGTCATACAGGCAGGCAAAACACCAACACACATGAAATAAAAGTAAATACATTAAAAAAATTTTTTTAAAAGAGCTTATTTCTATATCAAGCCATTCGTATAGGGTTTAGGTTAAGATTCCATCTTTGTGGGGATCCATGTATCTCTATAGAGAGGGTGCTTGAATGGTGATCTTGCTGTTACCTGTTGCACAGTTGGTGCTATGAGCCTCCTCCTCCTGCACCTTTTTCCAGTGCTCAGTAGCCCAGACCGAGCAGTAACTACATCTCATTTTCTCTTCTGAAGTGATTTTCATCCGACTTGAAAACACATCATGATATTCTTGCTCTAAAGAGGAGTACTCGGCAACCATATACAGAAAATAATGCATTTAACAGGAAATGGGGACACTTGGGTGCCAGGCATCCTGGCCCAATACTGCATGGATGGTCTTTTGCTGGAAAGACCTGATAAAAAGTGAGACATCACAGGTTCCAGGGGGATTGGAAAGAATTGTCTCTAGGTCTGTTGATGGGATAAAGAGGAACTACAGTACAGCTGTGTGGACATTGGAACCCTGGATCTCTGTTTACTGAGTGGGAAGGAGCACAGGGGAGCCAGTCCTCTGGGAAAATGGAGTTTGGGTTTGTACAGATAGATGCAGCCATTGGGCTGAGTGACAGGCCAATCTGGAGTCCAGCGTTG